TGATTCTCACAGCCCTATTAGATGACCTTCATTGCCGCTCTTCATGTTCTAAATGTGTTTTTTTGCACACAAAATGTTAGGTTTAGGAAAAGATCATGGTTTACAACTTCATGTTTTGGGTTGAAATAAGTACATTACGTGACTGCGGGTGGGTTACATTGGAGTTACTTGAAAGCCCAGGGCATCCCATACATACGCTGAAGGGTACCTTGTGCGTCAAATACCAACACTTTAAGAAAGCCTGACAAAGTGTCTGTATTTGACACCCAAAGATGAGACTGTGCTCTTATTTAAATGGATTTTAAATGGGATATTATTTAAAATTATTAAAGAGCCGATCCAGTGATTTAGTGTTGCACTTGCTAAAAGTTGTTGGAATTGTTAAAGACACATTAAAAAGAGAATGGCCAAAACCAAAATATCCTGACTTTTGGTCCATAGAAACACTGGATCCTACAATTCCCACAATGCAACTCAATAGCATCTGTCTATCTTCCTAATATAGTCATATAACATCATACAAACTTAATGCCCCCAATTTCTAATGCAGGGTGTCTGTAATAAAATTGTAGTCTCTAAGAGCAATTTGAGTTAACAGTGATGACATCACTATGACATCATCAGGGGTAATTTTCTCAGACTTCATGCTGCATTCACGTCATATGATGGATGGTAGAGAAGTTAATGACTTGCAAGTGTTCAAATCATCAAGACGGTTGTATAATTGCAGATTTAGTTGTGTGATGGTTAAAATATTGTTCACAGACAAAACACAACCGCATCCTTTAAATATGGGTTTAATTACATTGAACGACAGCCTTTGGCTGATGTGAGGCGTCCATATTTGCTTGGTTTTCAGGCTCTTTCACACAAGAAAGCTCCCTCCAGAACCTGTTTTAATAGGCTGAATACTGTTCCTCATGACTTATAAACTGATCTTCATGGGTAAATAAGATAAAAATGGAAACTCTAATTTTTTTTCATACAAAACCTAGTGCTCTCTTGGAACAGCTGATGTTTAGGTTAGGTATTCTTTTTTTCAGTAGATCAAATTTAAACACAGCGTGGCAGAAGTTGGATTCAACCATTTATCCATCACTTTCTTAGCTATCTGTTTTGACCTTTGTGCTTGCTTGTCAACAACTATTGACACACTCCCAGCAGTGTCTCATAGTGTTTAGACTGACTCTGGTTGGTAGAAGGCGCGTCCTGTGCAGTCAACTTCTTGTAGCTGGTAGTTTATCAGTTATGAATATACAATACATATATACACCATATACACCCTGGTGATTGCAGAGGTACCTCTGGTTGGGAATTCTTATCTACTGGACACCATTTTAAGAACAGGATGAGGCATAAAACCAGTTACAAGCGAGGGATTCACCACACATCGGCCACATCAGAGCTCCGACCCGTGCACACGGTTATAGTTAGAGCATTTTTATTCAATAAGGTGCTGTACTTCGTTGAAAACAAAGAAGCCTTAATTACAACCGTGTGCTCCAGACATCGTCAATTAAGATAACCCAGTTAACTTGGCTTTGATTTGTGAGTTTTTGGCAACATAAAGCAGTACAAGTAAAAAAATCACCACAAGGTCCATTTACTAGATGCTCTGGTCTTTCAAAATGTAAATGGGTTCTGAGAACTTTAAGAACTTCTTTTTCGTGTTGTCCTAAGAGCTGAGCAACAAAGTTAATCCCTGACCTTAAAACAGCAGTTGTGAACACCACAAGTTACATTATTTATTCCATGTACTACAGCTCCCAGACGGACTTTGTGTGTCTTGTTTTCTCATCGGCTGTTTTCAACATCAAAAACAAACTCTTAACCTCAGATTCTGGCAGCCTCTTTACACATATCATGGAAGTTTCATGAATGCACTACACTTTTTCACTCTGGTAAAGTGCTGTTCTGCATCTGCGGCAATCAGTTATGTGACACAATGAACATAAAACCAGTTTATCCTGCCCTACTTCATCCCTGTGGCCACTTCTGCCCCAGATGATTCACATTTCTGGTACGACCATGTGGTGAGAATCTTGTGAATATACAACTCACCCTCCTCCTCCTCGCTGTGTCTCTTATATACACACACACACACACACACACACACTTACAGACTGAACTGCTCATATAAGGAGCTGAACTTCTCTCAATGGGAATTATGACCATATTTAGAGCTACATGTCGACTTGTTTGTCTTGGCCAAAAGCCTCTCCAACAAGTGGTCTCTCTCACCGAAAGCCTCGCCACATCCAATACATAAACTTACAACGTTGCTGGACAACACGGCATAAACCGAGGGTCCTGAACATGGCCACTGTCTGACTAACACTCACACAGTAACTCTGACTCCCCGTGTGCAATCCAATCCAGATGTACCCAGATGTGCCTGGCCGCATTTAGCCATTCCTTCCAGTTCTGCTTGAAAAGCATAAATCCCTCAATTCTGAAGTGGACAGTCCCTTAGAGATGGGCAGCCGAGGCAGAAAGGCTTTCCTATTTCCATTGAACTCTGTGGCTTTTTTTTGAAATGGCATCGAGGCCCCGGACTATTTCAGGCACAGACACAGTCATTCCCAAACAGAAAGAGTGAGCTTCTCATAACGTTGTCCTGAAGAAATCCTTAAACATCTAGCACAAAAAAAACAAGAAAAAAGACAGAACCAGTCGTGCTCCCTGATGCTGGTCACTGCTCCTCTTTGATGTCTTCAACATGGAAAACACTCTGCTGAACATTTGTGGCTTCTCTCCATCCCTGACTTGTTCATGTTAATGATGAGGAAAGCCCACTGTTGACCCCTTCAAATCTAATTTACAAAGAATTTATTGAATTTGCAGGGCATGCACAAACACTTAATGGCGGCGGTCAGGCAGACACAAGAGTAATGTAGTAGCCCACCAGTTCTTGTGTTACCTGGTGTCAGTGTGTGTGTGTGTGTGTGTGTGTGTGTGTGTGTGTGTGCGCATCTGTTTGCTTGGAAAGATAAACATGTTTTAAAATCACAGCACACTGTAGAGAGAATTAGTGTGAACTGGATCAAAGCATAAGATGTCATATGAGGAAAAAGCCCTTGTACACAATGGAAGTTGTAAGACAGTTATATTTATTGCTTTTCTCTGCCTGAAAATATTGCCTCATCTTTATATCACAGCCTCACACAATGAAAGCAAATTCTGCCCCACTGTGAGTGCCAAAATGAGCAGAGCTTATTTCCTCTGTTTGGGCACACCACCCCCTTCTCAAAGATCCCCTCAAGATATCTCAGCGTTTACTTACAAACGCATGAAACGACGAGCAGCACTAATACTTACCCAGGTCGTCCATGATATGATTTCAGCCGAGTGTTCCCTCTTTGTGTGACACAGCGGGGACGCGGACAGCATTAATAAGTAGCGGTGGACATGCGACAAAGCCTGCAAGATAAGACGTTCTCGGCGCTTTTGTCTCCGTCGGTCCCGAATAACTTCTTGGACACCGTTATCCGCCCAGAGAGGAGGAGGAGGCGTCCCTTTTTTCTCTACCCGACTCTCTTCCTGTGTAATGCCTACCAGGACCTCAGACTGGAGAAGGCGTAGTTAAATAAATGTGGTTTACAAACCCCGCATTCCCCGGACACGCGACGTCACCCTGGACATTCCTAGTCCATATTTGGCAGAGAAAATTAAGGATTTAGTGGCGCCGCGAGCCGCGCAAACTGCAGCCGGACGAGCTGCTGCGACGATACATATGATGTGTGACAGAAAATAATGGGAAATGCATTTAGTGGCGTGCCCTTCACAGTAAATACAACCTGAGGTTAAGCACTGACGGGCCAACCCCTCCCTTTATTTATAGAAAAAGGGGGCCTGTAAAAAGAACATGTGGTTGTGATTATGTTATCAAACTGAGGAAAATGTGATATTCACTTCTTTTTGTAAAACTCTTATCCTATAAAAAAAAACATACAGGGGTGTAAACAGGATTTCTTTTTTAATTTAAATAGTATCTAATAATTTATCTAGAGGTTTGAAAAAAATCTGTAAATTTGTATTTGTTTCATGTTTATAACACCCAGTTGTTCAAATATATTTTGTATGGAAAATTATGCAGGCTATAATATCTATTTTTATAAACAGCCTAATACTGAAATACAAAATAGTATTCAGTCATTTTAACTACATGATTGTTCTGCCTGTCCACACTGACTGCAGAGATCTCTTCCCTAAGTGATTACAAATCAGCTTTGTGGATTTTCTCTCAGTTCACTTGCATTGAATATGTTCATGAGGACATCACTTTGTGGCCAATGTGAACAGGAGAAACAAAAATCCATCTACACATGAGGATCTAGGTGTTAATTTACAGACAGACTTTGTGAACCCATCCACGAAATTGTTTGGACCCCTGTTGACTCTGAAGTTCCCATCAGCAGACCCAGACACCAACCTGTACCTCTCTACTGGCCTACTCCCTGTTGGTATTAGCTAATTTGTTGAAACACAACTTTATTTAGGAAAAACCTCCATGTGACAATATACACTGTGCACAATATTAACATAATAAATGTGTTACATTTTGACACAGGGCCATCAGATTACATAATTATACGCGATAAAGCCTAAAGAATGATATCTGTCCTTAATAAAGTCCAATGTGTGAAACTTAAAATTATAAAATGCAAACTGCACTTTAGTGCTCAAATTTGATGTTATTCACTTAAGACACTTTGACATGGCACAAGTAGGAAAAACTAACAAGTGAAATGAATTTAGCTGCTTTGGTTTCGGGGTCCGGTTTTGTGCAAGTTGTCGGCTTTTATTGGGACACCTGAATATAACAGAGCCATTACTTTTGTTATTAATAATATCTGTGGTTTTCCTACCAAGTCAAAATGTCTTCTGTGAAAAATGCCTATAGCCCTGCCCAACGTCTTTAACACTGACCCCTTAAATTCTGTTATCTTCATTAAATGTTGACACAAACATATGTTTAAAATAAAAACCAGCCACCAGTGTAAAAAACAAAACAGGAAAAACTTTTAATCAAGCAAGCTCACAGTTACAGGCTATGTTCATGTGATTAGGGGAAGGTGCCACATAGATGTTGGTGACATGTGGTGACGTACGCATTGTTTTTCAAAACCTGGGTTTTAATACCACAAAACTATCCTCCTGTGTATATTGTATGTCACAGAGAAATTGTCCTTTGACCAAAAAAAATCCCTCTGGTGTCAAAGAGGTACCTGCCTTTGGTCTCAGTGCATGAAACATACAACAAAGAACTGACAAGTAAAACAACGACAAAAAACTGAACAGAATCATTATAAAGACTTTCTTGCCTGGTATGAAATCAAATCAGAAATGTACAACAACAATTGTGAGAATCTGACCAAGTAAACTTGTCAGTTGAAGGTTTATCTGTGCCTTTGTTTTGAACTTCCCGCAGTTTGCCGATGCAGACTCCTTACCTAGTCATGGTACTTAAAGAGCACTGTCACACAACTTCACCTTTTCCAAAATATTAATGATAATAATTATTATTATAACTCACACATACACACAATCATACTTTCCAAACCAACTTCCCTCAAAAAGTTTGAGCCAGTTGGTGCTTAAGAGCAAAGTCGGGGAGCAGAACCACATGTGATGTGGAAATCATAAAGAGTTTTAAAAAATGATTTGTGAAGCAAAAGGGGGGGGGGGGTGCTGGGATGATAGCATGAAGGTAACATGGATAGGCTCGGTTACCTATAACGTCCCCATCCATCAACTTAAATTATATTACATATCCTCCACCCCGCTACTTCTCCACTGCAGTTAATCCACACACCCGCTTCCATCCTTCCCTCCATTTCTCGTTTCCTCTCCCTGTCATCACTGCACAGCCTGTTCGTTGACGGTGCTGCCAGAGTCTTGAGGCTTCATCACATCTGGGAGCTCTGGAGGGCTGGAGAAGGCCTCAACATGCAGCTGTTCGAACATCTCATCTGGAGGACAGAGGAGACAGGGAAACATTAGCTCCGCCGTGACAGCAGAGTCGCATGTGGCTACATCAGTCATGCCTCAAAGCGGCTGCAGTGAAAATCATCTTTCTGGGTGGATTCTCCAAAGCTTGAAAGTAAGAACTACTCTGGTTAATGCACAAGGTGCACAAGGAACTTAATCTTGAGAGTTAGGTCATTTAAGGCACCACTTCAAATCATGGTGATATTGGTGACATGTGAACTAGTTTCTCTCTTTTCTGGAATAAGTGGCGACATCATAAGCATGTTCCTACTGGCAGCTCACATAGTATTCTTGGTAAACCCAGAACGCAAAATGATTGATTTGATCAAATCTGGAAAGCAAAAATCCATGATACACGAGCTATGAATCATATTTCATTCTTAAAGACAGTTTGAAGTCCAATTCAAAAAATATAAAGTGGTATATATTCCTAAACCCTCTTGCTGAAGTAGCCATGGCTTCAGGCCACACTCAAGCTTTTACAGCAATGTTCGAAAGTCATACAGGGACAAATCCAATGCAGCAACTAATTATTATTTTCATAGTCAACTAATCTGTTAATTAGCTATTTGATCGGTCAACTAGTCACAATTACTTTTGTCACACCCTAACCCTAATTAAACCATTTAACTAATTAAATATCTTCAAGTGAATTAGTGATCTCCAACATGCAGCCTAACTACCTAACGTTACCACTGAGTGAACAAGGTTTACTATTTAGAATGAACAAAAGTATCAAAGCCTGGGGAAAAAAAGAGGGTAGAAGACAAGACAGGGTAGGCTACTCCTATAATTTACTGATTTACTATTGCACTTAACATGTTTGCTAACACAACTAAAAGAGCGTTCTCTTAGCCAGCATTATCTATGAGAACTATTGAGAGGCTGCTCCAAGATAACAGCCAGGCTTTATCACCCAAAACATTAAGCTCACAATCTGATTTATTGCCAAGTAGGTTTAAACTTTAACTTTTAACTTTACAACAAAGATTTTTGCTTTGTTCCCAAAAAAAGGAAATAAAAGCAAGTACTATAATCACAACTGTAACATTACACTAACAACATAAAGTCTATTTAGAATAATAAAAATAAAAGTCTCCTTTCATAATACTTCTGTAGTTTACTTTTCCAAAGTGCTTATAAGTTTTATAAGTGGAGAATGTTCTATAGGCTACATCACGAGCCAGATTTCCCTTGATGTACTTTAAAATGTTAAACCATTACTCAGATTGTAAAGACAGAATAACAGTGGTACAAACATTGAAACTTTCAAAAGAATCTTACAGTTCCTGCTCCAGTGGTCTGAGGAGGGACCAGAGGGCTGTGAGGGTGTGACTGGCTGGCTGGCTTGCACTGCTTACCTTGTGGAGCTTCTCAACCCCGAAAACGTTTGAGCACATTTTAGATTTGCCATCAACTTTCGTAAAACTGCAATTATTTAAGTTCTACATATTTGATTTCTTGCCTCAAAATCTCTCAAAAGTGTACTTAGTAATGAAATAGCATACGAAACTTGTAAAAACAAAACCATTCTGATAGCCTCCTTCTCCGTTGCTATCCGCTTCTCGCATGAAATCTTCTTCTTCGTGAGTAGTCTTACAGTCAAGCAGTCATGGCAGAGCGTGGAAGAGATACTGCCCCAGCACTTCCTGTAGTGCATTTCAGTTAGAAATGAAAAACCAGAAATGTTCTTAATAAGAAGATTGCTATCTCTCCCTTAAATGGCATCTTTGTGACGATGCATCGACAATGAAGTTTCGTCTTCGATTACGTCAACAAATCGTTGCAGCCCTAGTTTCTATCACTTGAGAACTCAACTAAAAGTTGCACAACCAAAGCTGAACTCAGTCTTCTTCACTACAGACAGTTAAAGAGCAGCGTAACACACAGTAAAAAGATCAAAATGAAAAACTATCTAGATGGCACTGTACAGACACAGATACTGAGCTGATACGGATGAGTCGCAGTGACAGATATTTATAGCTCTCTACTGACAAACACACAGCACCTAACTAGAGATATTGAGGGCATAAATGAGATTGGTGCAGATTAACTGGAAACTAAGTAAAAATGGTCGCCATCAATCATGCTAACTGAAAGTCAACGTACCATTTATGCGGAAGGCCAGACCAATTGTAGCTGGGGCCTGGGGTCTGGCAGTCTGGTTGGTGAATCCACAGTCACCAAGAGTTTTGCTGTCCTCTAGCAACTGGTCATCCTGTGAAACAAAAATAAAAAAAAAGACATCACAGAATCCTCAAAATGTATGAATTTGCTTCACTGAAAATAAGGACATTTGCAGAGAATATTTTAGTCACCCTGAGGAAAAACATGCCACCTCTGTCATTAAGGACACATTGAATCTCAACAGAACTGTCAGTTGTTTGCTCAGGTTTAATTAGGTGTCACTGGGTTTGCTTGGCCCTGAACTCACTTTGTAGAGCCTTTGGTCTTCAGGTGTTCGCTTAAGAATTCCTTCAACAATGCGCTTCAGCTCATAGACAGTGGTGGACTCCTTGGCATCTGTGAAGATTGTGGTCTTATGACGCCGGATCATTAAGAACACGTCCTGAAGGAAAGTGGGCAGAGAATGATAGGTTACAAAAAACACCTGTGTCAACTTGATTTGTTGTTTTATATTATAAAAATGAGGGCTTGATGTTGTTTCTGAAATAAGGTACTATCAATTTAGGATGGGATCAAACAGGATAGCTGTGGCTCAGGTCATTTATAACCAGGTTAACTGCCAATAGCCCTATAATAGCCAATAGTCTTTATTTGACATGACATGTAGGCAATGCAAGTCGTAAGTTTTCATCTGGTAACTGTTTATAACACCTTACTACTAATCTTTATGTAGACTAAACGTGTGATGTTAGCAAAGCCTCTTAAGGAAAGATTGAGAAAAGTATTTTAGTTGGTTGTTTTGCCAACGTGTGAGGCAATTAACGCTACTGACAATTCATTGATTCATAAGCTAGCAATTAAAGTGAGCAGCGTCAAGCAGACGCAGATCTGAGCTAACGTGAAATTATAGCTAACACGAAACAGCCTTGAGATTTTTGAGTCGAAATTAGGCCTGTGTCAGCTAAATTAATAGGCCTTGTAGGTCTGACAATGGCAAAATACATTCAGCCGATCTGACCAGCATAACTGGGTTAGCTGGCTAACGTTACATCACTTCCAAGGTTAGCCAAGAAAAGGTAAGTAAGCTCGTTAGCTACGCCTGTCTTTAAAGCTAGATGGGGAGGCTAAGCTAACACAGCAAACTTAGCGTTAGCTGGCTAGCAAACACAAACTGAAATTAACATTTCTACAACCGAGAGTTTCGTTTCTTATAATGGCGTTAGTACTTTTAAACAACGCGCTAATAATTAATTCAATCAGTTTATCTCGGCGCCAATCTCACAAAAGGATTGATAATAATAATAATAATAGAGTTACCATTTCAAGTGGTCAGCTAGCCAGCCAGTTGCGCCAACCCTGTGTTGTGCAGCAGAACCCCAGACTGCACCGCTTGCGGATATTACGCAATTCAGATATGCATTCAGTATTCACGGAGGGCAGGTACGCAACTCTCTGTGTACCTTTCAGAATTTGGCGCGAGGTGGTTACATGCATGAAGGGTGATTGATTTGGACACAGCGTGTATCTGAACCCCACGGTTTTGAGGAATGTTGTTTATACCGGACGAAGGTATGTGTGTTAACGTTACTTAATTCTGCTTTAACCTACGCTGAACTGTCAGTTACAGTACGTTATTTGACTGTAAGTTAGCTTAGCTGGCTAGTTGATGTTGTTTTGTTGTTGACTGGGTCCGCCCTTAGTTAACGTTAACGTTAGCCAAAAAATGTTTTGTGGAGGTGACATTTGTCAGGCATGGCAAATAATGAATAATAGTAACCTACTGCTTGGAATAAAGTAGACTTCGGCCATAGCTTATTCATTAAAGTAACAGAAATATATATTTTAGTTGAAGACTGACTGTATCGAAAGGGTGTTTACTCAGTTAACGTAGCTACGTACATTAGTAGGTCTGTTGTACCTGTTAGCGCCAACAGATAACAGGCTAGGAAGACCTGTTCTGCAAATGAGCTGACCATCAAAGGATCAGTAGGATTGTATTGATACTGGTTTTAGACAACCTGTCAAGCAAGATGTAAAGGATGTCAAATCTGATGGTGATAACTGAGTGTGACCAAGCTGGAAAGAAAAGAAGAGCCTCCAACAAACTTAGGTTTGCTAAGGTTTGTAACACAGATATGTTTAGTGCCTTGAAAGATTTTTTTTCTCTCTTGGCAGATCAATAACGTTAACAAGTGTGTTAGAGTTTAAATGAATAAATTAAATGGGAGTTTGCTTTTGTTCTGTGGCGAATTAGTATGAGAGATTAGTTTAAGATCTGCATGGTTATGTGCATCAGTAACAAAAGTACATTGAGATTGGTATATTCATATTAAGTGTCATCCAAGACTGCAAGTGTTTAAAGGGTTTCTTTTGAATTTTGCAGCTCACCATCTTGAAAGACAGGAACTGAACAGTCCTTGCACAATGTCCTTGGCAATTGAAACCACAGGGTCCCGGGTGCCTCTCCCTCTCCCGACCCACTTCTCTTACGCAGAGCAGTCCTTTTCCCTGAAAAAGCGCCGACTCCCTTTTTCATCGTCATCTACATCCAACTCATCGTACTCCTCCCCTGCTCGGCTCTCACATTCTGTGCCCCCGCTGCCACCATCCAAGGGATGTCCCCCTCTAAGCAGGATGTTCCCCCAGCAACCGTCACCCTGGACACCCCTGTCTTGTTCCCTTCGTAAGTCTCCCCCTCCAGATTCTGTATATGATCCCAGCAAACAGCAGTCCTATTTCAGTCAGTGCTTCACTAATTTGGGCTTGCTGGGACGAGGATCCTTCGGAGAGGTCTACAAGGTGAGCTAAACGATAATGACTGTGTATGAAAGCAATATAATACATATGCATGCGTTAGAAGGACTAATTTTTGTGAGGATGTTGTCATATGATACTCAAATTGAAGACACATTAAAACAAAAGCTATAATGGACTTTCTAGGGTGAGAAATTTACAGTCTCTAATATGAAGATCAGTTAAAAATCTGTTTAAAAAATTCATTTACATAAAATCTTGACAGTTTGAACATCTGTTCTGTGGTTTTGTAATGGGGAAGCTCACAATACAAATTTAGACATCTCTGTAAGCAGTATTTTCTCACATTTCTCATTTGTGTGCATATAAGACGACACCTCAGTATTATCTGCATTTTTCTAGGTGCAAAGCAACGAGAATGGTTGGCAGTATGCAGTCAAGCGCTCTGCTCATCGCTTCAGGGGCAATAGTGAGAGGAACCGGAGTGTGAGGGAAGCCAGGAACCACGAGCACCTGTGTCCTCACCCTCACATCCTGAACTTTGTGGCAGCCTGGGAGGAGTGTGGCCGACTGTACATTCAGACAGAGCTATGTAGCACCAGCTTGCTGCTCCATGCTGAGAACAAGCCTCCTGGCCCAGGTCATCTATTAGCTATAATATTTATACATATAATGTATGTACTTCTTGCGCCATAAAATTCTCAGACCCCTAGACATACTCACTCTCTTTCGTTTCAAACATTTGAATCCAGACGAACCTGCAGCATGGGCCTACCTGTGTGACCTCCTCTCAGCACTGCAACACTTGCACTCTCAAGGTTTTGTGCATCTGGACCTCAAGCCCGCTAATGTCCTTATTACTGACTCTGGTCGTCTCAAACTGGGGGACTTTGGGCTGCTGCTTGAGCTCAAACAGAAGAGTACAGATCCTGTAGAGGAGAAGGTGAAAGAAGATGTCCAGGAGGGAGATCCCAGGTACATGGCCCCTGAGCTGCTCTGTGGGGAGTATGGACCTGCTGCGGATGTTTTCAGGTACAAATGCCATAAATGAGAAAATTAAATACTCTAATACATGTATCTGATTGAAATTGGTGCCTAAACGTTGTTGGTGTATTGTCATTTAGTTTGGGTGTGTCTATTCTGGAGCTTGCCTGTAATATTGAGGTTCCAAATGGTGGCGAAGGCTGGCAACAGCTCCGACAAGGCTGCCTGCCCTCAGAGCTGACCAGTGGTAAGAGCCAAGACTTTCTTTAATCCTCATTAATGGTTCCATTATGTTAATTGAAATTACTTTTTTACTTTTTCCATCTGTGTCTGCAGGCCTGTCAACTGAGCTTCAGGAGGTGCTGAGGATGATGCTGGCCCCAGACCCATCTGAGAGACCGACAGTCTCTGAGCTTCTTGCCCTCCCCTCTGTTTGGAAACACAGGTGGAAGAGGCGGGTCTATCTTATGGTCGCAGAGACAATGTTAACACTGGTGTCCCTCTGCCAGGTAAACCTTTTACACATTAGCGTTTGGAGTTTGGTTTAAATAATGAAACTGTATTATATTATATATTATACATGTCCAGGGTGTACCCTGCCTTTCGCCCAATGTAAGCTGGGATTGGTTTCAGCCCCCCGCGACCCTGTACGCAGGATAAGCGGTTGACGATGTATGGATGAATGGATGAACTGTATTAAACATGTAGCCTTGCAAAAAGTCCCTTAACGTGATATCAATTGGCCCTCGACAATCAGCAGCCTTTGAAGTTAGAGGTGAAAACCAAGAAGAACCAAACCTTAAAGGTTACATTTAGTATTTTTCTGGTCTTTTTCCTTATAGATGGTGGTGTGCTTTGGGTGTAGACTCCTGTCCTCCCTTCACTTGTCTTTCCTTCCTCATTGGACTAAACCAACGCCCTGCACTCCTCCTAAGGATAGCTGGGACAAGGATTTAACCCTGCCCCTCAGTGCCATGCATGCTGACTCGGGAAGCCCAGGGGATGATGCAGTGTTTATGTTGGATGCCAGAGACCCAGAGCTTTCCCCCACCTTCTCACACAGGTAGAGAATCATTGTGTCAGTAGGATGCTGTTCTCGACAAGCTTGTTGCCCCTGCTCTTTACTCTGAATTTTATGTTATGTCCTAGAAATGTCTTTCTTGTACAGATATCCAGCAACAGCTGTTGGGACACTGCCTCTGCTTTGAGCTAAATGTATTATTTCTGTCCACATTCCACAGGGTAAAATCCAGACTGTCTGTGGAAAGCACGTCCACTCCTCTCCCAGGTTCGCAGACGCACAATCATCGAAGTCCTGCCCACACACCCACTCACTCAAATGTGGGCGACTGGTCATGTAACTTAGCGCAGACCCCCTCCAGCATCCACTCAAATGGTTCCTGCCACATACTGACACCCAGTGCGAGCCCCATACACGCAGAGCTCCACACAGGCACCATGAACGAAAACTCCACGCACAGCCAACAGTCTTCATCTAGCAAGTCCTCGCTGCAACGTGGTCACAACTGGCTCCGAACAGAGGAGGCTTTACCCCGACCCAACTTTGAACCCAAGAACCTGCTTAGTCTGTTTGAGGAAACAACTCTAGAGGGACAAGAACCATGAGTACAAGTACTGCCAGTTTACATTCAGGGGCAAAGTATTTCACTTTAAAAAGGTAAAGAGGACCTAACGTATGAATGTACCAAGTTTACTACTTAGTTTGTATGATCTGCTTTTGCCATTTTGTAACAGTCCTACGACATATTCTTGTGACATGTATTTGTAAAAAAATAACTAATTTAGGAAAAAGGCTTGAATATGTAGTCAGACCTTTAAAGCACTTTTTATGTATATGTAAATGCAGTCTGTTGCTGAAATGACAAGTCATGATGTATTGTTAAATAAGTTATCATTAGCTTGGTGTACTCTGAGTCATTCACCTCATGAGTCACAAAAGAAAATAAAACATGGAGGAAAACAATATAAACTTGTGGAAGATGTTTTTAGTATAAGGAACTATTAAAAAAAAAAAAAAAAAAAAAATGTGTGTGTGAGACGGGTGTGCTTGTCAAGGTTCAAGCGAGTCAGATCGGCAGTTTTCCCAATCAGGGACAGAATAACAGGCCCATGAAGGGGAAGGGATATAAACCAGAGGTACTTTTAAAATCAGCATTGAATGACTGAAGGTAGATTGTCATTTCTACTCAGGATGTTTTAAGGCTCTGTTTGAGTACCTACCAGTAGATGGCAGCAACGCACCTCACCCTCCCAGCCGCTTTAAAAACACAGGAAGGGGATGATGTGGGTGGACCGTTTTTTAGACTTGGTGTAGGCTTATCTTCTGTAAATGCTATACATATAAATGGCCAAATGGACTGCTGGCCTGCCATGACTGAGATCTGATTTTACAGTTTATATGCGAATAATACCCCAATTGTGAATACTGTAAAGAATGAGCGTTTTCATCTGGATCACTGCTAAATAATCTGGGATTTATCGCGACAGTATTTTTAACGGGACCACATTAGGTTGAAGGTATGCTGCTTTTCCGTTTGTTAAGAATCTGTAATGAATATCAATACTGAGGAGCCTCAGTTTTAGCCTATTTACCGCAATAGTGAGATAGAAACGGTTAGGTACGCTGTGCAATTGTGGTAATATTGTAAAATCTGTATTTTTGCAGTATGCGATCCGTAATTGTATCATAATTGATTATCTGATAGTTGTTAGATCTGTAAGGGCAAACTCAAGTCATCATATTGTTAGAAAGCATGTTGCTCCTGCAAACAGCTCTGAAATCCACACACCGATCACCTTGTGTCAATTTGTTCTTAAATGATCAATCCATAAAGATGTCCAAAATTGAGCGCCTGAACGCCCGAGTGGAAAAGCTGCTGTCTAAAGCGGTGCTGGAGGTTCTGGAGGCGGTGAAGGAGACTGTATTGGAGTACCAGGAGAAAACTACCAGGACACAGAGAGAGAACCAGAGTCTGAAGAGAAGGCTGCAGGAGCTCCAGGAGAAGTTACAATTGGGAAGCAACGGTAAGGCAAAACAAAACTTGTACCCAGAAATATTAAGACTGTTTGGTAAAATGTTGATTTTTCTTCTTTTTTTGGTGCCTTGTCACCTTTTGTTGTCCTGCAGGAATTGTGCCACACATTTCCTCTGCAGCCCGGCTGGCTGATGCAGAGCTGAATCTCATGGATCAGAAACAGAAAGAGCTGGAAGATGAGGTTGAACTCACCCCCTCTGATAAGGACATTACAGTTATTTGCCCCTCGTACTCATTTGAAGACCTTGATTATGAAGCATCCATCACATCATTTGCCACCACCTGTCTCTCCCCTAGAGCTACGACGGGACCACATTTGGGTGGTGATAACATGAACCATTCGAGAAATCTTAAAACTGAGACTGATAATCGACTGTTGGCCCCAATATCAAACCCTATCAGTGACCCTGTCACTGCAGTTACAATCTCTGAAAATGACCATGAAATGAAACTAGAGCCTACATCAGATGAAGACGCAATGCACGCTACAAATTATTTTTATGACGATGCTGGTACGAGCGCTACATCCTTACACAGACAAGCCAGTTCAGGACTCCACCATGAGTTAGGGATTGTCTTCAGTCCGGACCAAAATGGCATAGAAGAGACACTATCTCAGAGTTACAAGAATACAAACGGCGTTGGAGCAGAAAAACAACACGCCACTCAGATAAACACAAAAGTGGGACGTCCAGGATCAAGAGCGTTCCAGAAAAACATCCGAAAACACTACTACTGCTCGCTCTGCGGTCGCACCTTCAGGCACGCTGGCGACTACAAGAAACACAACAGGGTGCACACGGGGGAGAAGCCGTACTGCTGCTCGGTGTGCGGGAAGCGCTTCAGCCAGTCAGGCTACCTGACGGTGCACCTGCGCTACCACACGGGGGAGAAGCCGTTTGGCTGCAGTCATTGTGGCAAAAGTTTTAGTCACTCGAGCAACATGAAGAAACACCAGCAAACTCATCTGTGAGGCTGCTGTGTTATGTGCTAATTGTCCAACTCATAATATCCAGATGTTTCTACACGTTACTGACAGTTAGGGATGGTCAGTGACCGCGGTGAAGTTAGTTTTAAGTTGGATATTCGACAAACATTCACCCAGGATCCAGTGACGGCTTTTTAGTCAGTTCACCCAGTTACGGTTGTATAAGTGCGGTTAGCTCACCTCTGATGGCTCGCTTTTAACCAACGGGGGTTAGCTTAGGGACCATCAATAAATTACAATTGTGAAAACAGTGTTATGGGAGAATCATCTTTTTTTTTCAATAGCTTCCAAGTCATTTGAAGCAGGGACTTCAAACAAATTCCGAATTGTAGTACTACACTAGGCAAATGAGACACACCCCTTCATATTTGATTTGAGTGCATTCTTTATTTTATATAATATTTATTCATAATATATGGAAAATAATGCCTTTTTTTTCAATAGCTTCCAAGTCATGTGACGCAGGGACTTCAAACAAATGCCGAATTGTAGTACTACACTAGGCAAATGAGACATAACGCTTCATGTTTGATTTGAGTGCATATTTTATTTTATATGAATATTTATGTATATTTTTTTCTTCAATAGATTCCATTTCAAATGATTCAGGGACTCAAAACCAATGCCGAATTGTACTACTACCCATTACACATATTACACACCTCTTGTACAACTGCAGTTGTACCACAAAGAGTCAGTCATTTTCTTCCACAGCATTGAGCAGATTTCAAAGAAACACTTTATTTACACAACGGACATTCCCAGTTTCCTTTCTTTGCCTCTTCATATTGTGTGCTGTCCATTTCCACACACTGAGCATGGAACCACCGTTCACAGCCATCACACTGGACCTGTGGAATTGAAAAAAATCTTTCGTAACATATTTATATATACATTTATTTCAATGTCTGTTGCTTAGAGGTAGAGCGGTTGTCCACTACATGGAAGATATATGCCCCCTCTGTATTTGCTCAGAAGGCTGTTCCATTGTTGTGTGAGTGTGTGTCAACGAGTATTAGTTTCTTTCTCATCAGCAGTTGGCACCTTGCATGTATTGTATTGCATGTATGTATGTATTGCATGTATTTCTCTCTAAAATATGCACTCAAATCAAACATGAAGCAGTGTGTCTCATTTGCCCAGTGTAGTACTACAATTCGGCATTGGTTTGAAGTCCCTATGTCACATGACTTGGACGCTATTGAAAAAGAAGGCATTATTTTCCTTAAATTATGAATAAATATTAATATAAAATAAAAAATGAACTCAAATCAAATATGAAGCGGTGTGTCTCATTTGCCTAGTGTAGTACTACAATTCGGCATTGGTTTGAAGTCTCTGCGTCACATGACTTGGAAGCTATTGAAAAAAACAGCACTTTTTTCAATAAATTATGAATAAATATTAATATAAAATAAAAAATGCACTCAAATCAAATATGAAGCGGTGTGTCTCATTTGCCTAGTGCAGTACTACAATTCGGCATTGGTTTGAAGTCCCTGTGTCACATGACTTGGAATCTATTGAAATAAATAATGATTTTCCCATAACACTGTTTTCACAATTTGAATTTATTGATGGTCCCTAAACTAACCCGGTTGGTTAAAAGCGAGCCATCAGAGGTGAGCAACTTTAAACTAACTTCACCGCGGTTGGACAGTGAAAGAGGCAGAGTGGTGAATTTCTTTAAATTTGAGTAATCCTCTGCGAACCTTCATGTGGAGGTCAGCTGAGCATTATTGCAATCCTATTTAGAAAATCATGTAGCTTTAAGAGTGTTACATGGAAAAGTAACTGTGCCTTCTTTTATCAACGAAGGAAGCTTATCGCACATGTCAACGTTAAAGCATCAAGCACAATCTAATAATTTGTAATGTTCCTGCTGGTTTGTTAAATATTTAGAGATTTGTATTAGGCTACTTGTCGCTAAGGTTCTTGTGTTCACCTCCACATTCATTCCCAAATCAAATAAAAGTGTTTGGTACTTTGTGGTTTTTATAGATTCATTTACAATGATCCTACACAACCTGAATGCCCCCATCCAAACCAGACATCGTGGTGTCAACTTAAAAACTCAGCAAAAGCACTGATCAAATTGTAGCCTGCTAGTGTATGGAAAAGTACTGAACTAACTGTCACACTAAAAAGTGTGTTTTTAAAGTCAATCCCTCTCAGGGCAAATTAGTTATTAGGGATTAAATGAATTGTATTCTGGTGGGAGATGTCAGGCAGTGGTGTATTTAGTAGTAAATCCAGCATATATAAATGATAAATAGCTGATCTCTTTTACAAGGCTGGGCAGAAATAAAAAATATATATGCCCTACAAATAATACAGGTCCATCTTGGACAAATCGGCATTACATGTGTCTCAAGTTTGAAACCAGATGAGATTATCAGATGTTAAACTTTCAAGACTAGACTGGCTTTTGAGGCCACAAACTTGCAGCAGTGGCTATTTTTACCTTTTCTTTTATAGCAACTCAGTGTAATGTTTTTAAACCACCACCATCCCTCAACATTTAGTTAAATCACTGGTCAATAAGACATCACATTTGAGTTAAAGCAACCCCATGACACCAATTATTAGGGGACACAATATCATGAACCCCAGGGAGCAGTCAGAAACATCTGTAGTGCTGTCTGCATCTGTTGTAGAGCAACATTGGCTACTGAGCAGAATTGCTCCTAAGTACAGAAATGGTATTTCCCATCTGCAAAATTTCCAGCAACTACTTCTATTTCCTTCCCAACTGGACGTAACTTGTTTAAACTTGATGTTGGGTTTAAAAGGCTGCCTACTTAACCACATACATGATTCTTTCAGTTCCCACATAGGCAAGCTGCAGGACACACACCAAGCCAAAAGAATGCGATTCAACAGATTTGACAAGTAAGTCAGATTTTCCCATTTGTTCTGTTAATTGATATTGTGTCTGCCACCATTATTGGTCATTAATAAACACTGTGAATGTAGACTTTCATTCACTCTCATTGAGCAAGTCTACATTCTAGATCTTTAATCCAATTTTAGCCTGAAAAAGCACATATCAAACCCAATGTCACTATTATCAAATAGACAATAAAGTTTTTTTTAACATGGGGTAGATGTTGAAGTGTTAAATCGTAATGCAAATCCATGTCATCTGAAACCTCTGTTTGCTTAACCTGTTAAGCAGGACGTTTTGTGTTTCAGAATTTCTGGAGACGAAGTTAATGCAGTAATGCAGAGTGTCAAGTGTGTGGTTGTTGGAGACAGTGGAGTAGGAAAGACCAACTTACTCTTTACCTACATCAGAAAGATCTTTCCTAAGGATTACAAACCAGGTTATATCGACTTGTACCGGACCCAGCTTAATGTAGACAGCCAGATTGTCAACCTTAGCCTTGGAGACACCGCTGGCAGTGAGGAATATGACCGTCTACGCCCCTTCAGCTACAACGAAGTCAATGTCATCATCATCTATTTCTCCATTGATAGCCCAACATCCTATGAGAATGTCAAGCGCAAATGGCATCCAGAGGTTAAAGACCATTGCCCTAATGTGCCCATTCTCCTTGTGGGAACTAAGAATGACCTACGTGATGATCAGGAGGTCCTGGAGAAACTGAGAGAGCAGAATCAGACCACGGTCACACAGCAGCAGGGAACAACCATGGCAAAGCAAATAAAAGCTGTTAAATATCTTGAGTGTGCTTCAATCAGCTATGATGGACTGGATGAGGTGTCTGAGGAAGCTGTGCGTGCTTTTTTCAGTCATTCAACCTCCAGCAAGAAACCCTGTGTACTCTTGTAAATTAAGGTAGCTTTATGCTTTATGCGCTTGTCTATGGGAATGGGGAATGTCATGTTTCCAACTTTATATCAATATTTAACAGACCACAGCATGTATAGTTGAAAATTTACATTTTTTACTGGCCACCTCTTTATGTATTTATTTTTTAAATGTTGTCATTCCCTGTATCCACAATAGGTAATGCTGAAACACAATAATATAATAAAATAATATAAGAAATAACACAGTTTTGGTTACTTTTAAGCATGGAGGTATTACAAAGTTGTTCTCTTGTGTTGTAACACAATTACACAAACAAAGCCTGAAATCCCAGTTTTCATTCATTTGTTCTGAAGCATTTAATTGGCAGTATGATGTCACAGGACAAATAACGATTTAAATTTGATTTGATGAAACAGAAGAATTCAGTAGGAGGTGAAGTTAACTGCTGCGGGTCAGATGTGAAATTAGACAAATGCGTTCAACTCGGACCTTTATTTTGAAAACCAACTCAGTGGACGTAATGCAGGTTCTTCTTCCGGAGGCCGCGAATTGTTATGTTGCGTCCTGATCCTTTTAATCCCTTTTATCTTGTTTATATTTGTTTTTAAAAAATGTCCTATTAGTTAAGTTGGTTAAATATAAATTAAACCTAAACGTCTAGCTAACACAGACCGCATTGAGGTTTTGGTGGAAGTTTAAAAGGGAAAACGATAACGGACAGAGTTAGCTTACTACGTCCGTTAGCCGCTAACTTCGGCTCGCAGGTACAGCAGTTGTAAACACGCTTAGTTAGCACTGAAACTAGCTTATTTGTGGTCTTTAAACACCCAGGGTTACACTGGTATGAGTGAAGATGACTGTACCACCAACATATCGAACCAAACGTATCTGTGTAAACGATTTAACGTTAAAAGCTCAGGTCATAAATGGGATCATATTCCTATTATGTGTTAACATTGAAAAGCAGCATCACATCGCAGATTCTCTACATGTGGTATTTGGATATAAGCCTTCTTTTTAAATGCTAATTTAATTGTCCTTGTCCAGACAAATTATTTGTAACTTGTATATTGGATGTTTTCCTCTTTTTAACAAAACAGTACATAAAGGCAGTGACCAGTTTATGATTAGGAACTTCATGTGCAGTCGTTTCTGTACACAGTGTTGTCACACAGCAGTGTTTGTGAAACATTTCCTATTAATGATTACGCAATAACAGTAACATACAGCTCCCTTTGCAGACGCTTATGCATAAGCAGTCCACAGTCATTTCTTACCATGAGTGATTTTTTATTTCAGGATGTCTAAAATTGAACGTTTAAATGCTCGTGTGGCCAAGCTGCTGACTGAAGCAGTGCAAGAAGTTCTGGAGGTGGTGAAGGAGACGGTGTCAGAATACCAGGAGAAAACTGCCAGAACACAGAGAGAGAACGAGAGTCTTAAGAGAAGGCTGCAGGAGCTTCAGGACAAGATAACAAGAGAGAGCATAGGTGGGTAACAAGTGTCATTTTCATGGTGTATTTATCATTATAAATTCTGTTACTATGAAGTGAAGTTATTCATGAGCTGCCTAGTCAAAGTATAACACTTCTTTGCCCGTTATCTAAAGACAAAGAAGATACACAAAATCAAGAGCAGGATTTGGGGCTCACTTTGTGGCAGAACTCAGAGCTCCCTCTCACCGAGCAAAAACCGATAAGCAGCCACAAACCTGACCACAATGTGAAGCAGGATTCAAAACAACAGGAGAGCAACAGTAATACTGAATCACAAGCTGAGTGTAACTTGACACAAACAACAGAACACTGCAAAGCACAAGCAGAGGAGGTGACACACATTATAGAGGAGGCAATGACAGTCCACACATCACACAGTGCAAACAGGAACATCAGTGTTGCCCCATCCAATAATGCATGCGCCTCTCACTCCAGCACCTCAGTTGGGATAAACCTGGCTGTTGTTAAAAGAGAGCCAGAACCTTCAGGCTGTGCAACATCAAAACCACCACCTCTTCAAGAACAGTATAATGGATGTGTGGATTTAAGCTTCAACTCTTCTCGTCAGAACTCTGCTGAGACGCACAGGCCACAAGTCAGTGCTGAACCTTGCGGACATGTCTTTGTCCACTCAAATCATGGCATACCTAGGAGGCATGGATTTGCAAAAACCAACAGGGCTGCATTTGATGGGAGAAAAATCAGGATGGAGCACTTCAGGAGAGACGATTCGCACCCCTGTGTTGTATGCGGAAAGACGTTCAGCAGGGTTGGGAACTTGAGAATCCACCAGCGTTGTCACACAGGAGAGAAGCCATATGGTTGCGTACAGTGCGGGAGGCGTTTTAGTCAGGCAGGAGACTTGAAAAAACACAAGAGGGTGCACACAGGCGAGAAACCGTACTACTGCAACCAGTGCGGAAAGTGCTTCAGTCGGGGGGAGAATCTGAAAAGACACCAGAAGATCCATATTGGAGAGATTTTACAGTTACAGCAAGTGTGGAGGGAGCAACAGCAATGATTAACTTCAAATCAGTAAAATCAGCAGACTCACTCTGTGCAGAATCTGAAGGACAATTTTTGGTCTGTGCCCTTAGATAAAGAAGTATTTGCTGGGTGTTTAAGTTATGAGCTACAGAATTAGTAAAGAAATGATAATATATTTTGACTAACTGGGAATAGTTAAGGTGTTACTTGCTGTTCTGGTGTATGTAGCCAGTTGTGTGCTGCTTGCTCTGGTGTATTTGTCCCTCTGATCATGAAGGAACAGAGCTGTAGACGATAATCACTTAACCAAAGAGGCTAAAGCTTTACAGATATAAAGGCATACTATCAATATCTAAATTGATATCTGTGTAATACTATTTTTAACCAACAAGATTGAGTCAATTGTGAAATTTTAACTAATATAATGGTCAATTAGCAAAAGAACAGAAGAAAGAAATATACTTCAAAAGGTTCTGCACACTAATGATATGTTCATACAGGTGATTTCAAATGTTTTAGCTTATTAGATTGTTGACCTTTTGCTCACTCTTGTTGCACATGTTAGTGCACCAAAAGTTACACCCCCATCATTCCTATTAGTATAAAGAGTTTTGTGTGCTCCACCTAACCTCAACCTGACTCGAGGTCTCATCAGCCAAAATAAGTGAAGTGTTTGGACTAAAGGTGACAGTGTTATATAGTGTCTCTTGGTCATGCACAGAATGAGTTCTATCATGTTTAAATAAGTAAATGCTGAAGACAGTGATTGAAGCATGGTTGTCCTTAAAATTGCCTCATTTTCCAGACAGACTGAAGCTTGCTGTATGCCGGATATATTTATTTATATAGTTATTAGCAGAAGAAATAAATGTATTTATTACTACCAAAAAAACAGCTCAGTGAGTGATGTTTCAAGCAAACCCTTAATCAGAAGACTCCCTAACAAGGCCAAAGGCACATTCAAGTAGTCAAAGGTGTATTGTGGTGTCGAGGCTTGATTAATTAAAAAGTAATAACCAACAAACACCACCTTTCATCCCTCCTGTGGGCGTGCGTAATGTTTACCTTAAGAGTTATTTGGTTTGAGTAATATTATGAGGCTGGAATGTGTAAGAAATTATCACATGCACCCACTTGACTTTACACACCAGATGTTAGGGATTATCACAGAATAACCAATACACACCACTGACACACACACACACACATCTGCGAAACTACAGGTCCTCATATCGGTTTCATTTCAAATGCTAGAGAATAAAAAGTTTATAGGTTGTTTTACTGCATTATTTACCCCCTGCCAGCTGCAACCAATTACACGTGTTATGGCGGATTTACTATTGGGCCCCTATACTGACCACCAACCATCCACTGTGCGTTGTGTATGCACAACGTCAAGTATTTGAGAAGTTTAGCACACACAACAAAGTACATTTGGCAACTTCATTACATGACCATGGACCCAGAAACCTGCCAGTGCTATGAAAATTAGCTTTACACTAACTCTCAATTACACTACATCAAATGTAAACATGTATGCTTCCTAAAACATATAATATCAAATAAATTAATGTTGGAATAATTCTGCCTGCACCCAGGATTATAATAATATGGATAAGGATAATAATATGTCAGTTTGTGGATATTTGATTAAATACAACTTGTTTTTTTTGTTTGTTTGTTTTTAGAAAAGTTCATATGAGCACAAGGTCCTGAAACTAGATTTGGAAACACCCCCTATCATAGCCACAGAATTACCAAATTAAAATTACTTTACTGATGTAAATCTCCAAACAAATGTGTAATTAATCAAATCAACACAGGTACTGAAGGTGATGGTCCAACTTGTCTTACTGGTAAGCCACACTGGCAAATATGTAACTGTTAATTAATGTTAATTAATAAAAAATAGTATAGTTCAAAACAGTTTGGACAAGGTGCCTATGGTCGAATGACAGTGAACCCAGTGCCAAGATGCGGAAGCTTTTGCATAAGAAACATAATGATTTTTTAAAGCTTTCTTTTCATATTACAATAGTTGGACTGGCGCCAATGAAACATTGAGTTAGTTCCTATAATGAGCCTGCAGCTGACGTTGTTTACACACACACACACACACACACACACACACACACACACACACACACACACACACACACACACACACACACACACACACACACACACACACACAGTGCAGTTCGCGCTGTTGACGTGAAGCTGTGCGCTCACCTTCGCTACCAGGAAGTGATTGACACACACCCTCATGAGGAAACTGCAGCACGGTTACGCGCTACAGAAAGGTGAGTAAACAAAGAAGCGTGTGGATATGAGAACTTGTCGGGTTTCGCAATTTCTAAAGTTAAAGTAGACACGTTGCAAATGGGAACCGAAATTCAAGAGAGTCAATTATTGTTCAATACGACGCTAACACGGATGTCGAGACGTTACTGCCTTGAAAACAGCTGGCGAGTTATTATGGCGGTGACTTTGGCATCTGTTCAACAAGATTTACCTGACATTAAATGGTGTATTGGACTGTATTAAACGTTTTAAATTTGAGACGTGAAGCATGTTCTTGTGACACGAGCATGAGTTAAAGTTAGTATTAGGTCACCATAAACAGACATTCAGTAATAAATGTGGAAGTGGGCTTAATATTTGCTGTTTTCTATACTGCAGGTTCCTGCTTTGAGCAGCCTGTGATGTTGAAATGAAGCTTAATGAAAAAATTGTCAACTATTTTGAATCTTGCAACTCACCCGTGGATAAAGAAGGGTATCTGTACAAGAAGGTATGACACTTTGGATAAAACCTATTATTAAAACAGTATTCAAATTCAAGATTAAGTAGACTACATTGTGGTGGTGATTTTGCCTTTTAAACAATTAACAAAACTAAAATGTGGTTTTAAAAACGCACTTAACAATACCCACTTTTCCATTAATATGTGACACATTTGTCTTCATAATAATAATTAACTTTTTTTGTGCTGCACTTTTCAAAACAAAGTTACAGGTGAAATTAAGATTAAAATTATAGCACTATAACTGAATAAAATCAGGCAAATAAAAGCACATACAATGAAATAGAATAAATTACTTTAATAGCCTACTACTGCTGTCAGTCCATACAGCTTTTAAGTAATATTTTAAGCACATCGAAAGTGCTTGCATCAGCAATTTAATAAAGCACTGTAACATTTAACCTTCCTGTAACTGCTTCTTTCACCAAACCAGTTGTGTAAGAAATTGAGTAAATGAGCTATTTGTAACTGAGTCAGTAAAGCACAGATGCCACAACTGTCACACAGGGTGAGATAAAGACTTCCTATCAGAAGCGCTGGTTTGTGCTGAAGGGGAACCTCCTCTTCTACAAGGACCGGCCCGCTGACCGGGACTTGGCGGGTGTGATTGTCCTGGAGGGCTGCACTGTCCAGCTGTGCGAGTCCGAGGAGCAATTTGCCTTCTCGCTGGTGTGGAGCGAGCCGGGACTGCGGACGTATAAGTTTGCCGCCGAGGACCAGGCCAGTCAGGAGAGCTGGATTAAAGCCCTGCTGTCGGCCAACCACAGCTACCTGGCCCTGCTAGTGATGGACCTGGAGAAGAAGTATAGAGGTGAGAAACTGAAAGGCTGCGTCTTCTTTTTGTTGTTGTTCATCTGTGGGTGAAAGAGAGCAGCCTTTTGTTCTAGAGGGCAGCTGTGTGAGGCGTCACTGTTAACAGCCTCCACATGTACGTCGTGGTACACAGTATGCAGACAGACTAATCTCATAACATCTGTCTGTCAGCAGGGGCAGACATTTTTAAAACAATAACTCAAGTTTCTCATGATCTAAATTTGTAGACTTTATCAAAGAGGCGTATATTAACTAGTAGTTTGTGCTTTTTGTTGTATTTGATTGCAATAAATTATAAAGTATAAATGGTATTTTGGCTGTATGTATGTGAATCTACTCACTGATGATGCTTGGTCGTATGACTGACACAGCTGCCTTGCTAATGATGCACTGTTATCCATTTGTTAGGTAACCCAAGGTTGAGATCATGTTTTGGCTTAAATGACACACAATGTGTCTTGATTTGGACCAATATCCACTAGACTCTTCACACATGTATAGATAGGTGAACAATAACCTTATCTGGACAATTAGGGAATCTCTGTGGGTGTAGGGAGGATAAATATTCCCAGACAGGAAGTATCCTTCAGATTTGGTGTTGACATTCTCTGTGTTCACATGTTGTGTGCTGGCACTGAGACTGTTTTTCTTGAGAAAGTAAACAGACTGCTTTTAAAAACGTTTTATTCATCCGTTACTGAGTCGATTTTAACTTTTTGTAATGATCTGCTGGTTTGGCATCCTCAGCATGCTTAACAAACAATAGGCTGGGAAAGATTGTTAAACTTTGACAAAAGACCATTGGCACTAACTTGAATGATCTTGGCCGTGTTAATCAAGTTAGAGCCACTCAGAAGTCAAAGGCCATTCTGGCTGACCATCAATACCCTCTTCATGCAGAGCTTTCAACTGCTGCCATCAGCGAGGAGTATAGATACTTTCCCCAGAAGGGCCAAATCAAACAGATATCTGAGATCATTTGTTCCGCCAGCTGTTGGGTTTTAAACAAGCTGTAGGGCTAGATGTTGTTGCACACATACATTAATAAAGGACTCATGGACGCAGTGCTTTATATCTCAAGGTAACTTTATTATGATAACATCTACTTTTTGTTATATGTGTTTATGTCTTCTATTTATTTATTTGTTTTATGATGTGTATTGACTACTGTTGGCAAACCGAATTGCCCCTCATGTACAATAAAGACTATCAAATCAAAATCAAAGCAAATCTCCTCAGCTGAGTCTCATTAAACCACTCTATGTAAGCCTTCAGTCAGTCTCTGAAACTTCTTTATCACAACTGAACGTGGCTCACTTTATTTCCTAGAGTTTTTTTATTGAAGTTGATGAATGGCCTTGCGTTTAATGATTTTGTTTTAAGGTGGGAAGGAGAAATGTAGCAGTCTCAGTAAACTCTGTCCTCCAGCTCAGTCTTTAGGTCTAGAAAGAGACATTTTGGTGTCAAGAGTGTTTTGGTCACGGCAGAAGTGTTTCTGTTGACTTAAACATCCAGCAAGCCTTAATCTGGGGGCATGATTTTAACAATAAAATCAAAACATGGGGGGTTAGGAAATGGTCTCACTGGCTAGATCTACTGTAGTTTGACACTGATTAACATTTTAACAAAACAAACACTGATACTGTTTTTTCATCAGTATAAAATCTTTTGAAAATGTAAGTTGATGTGTTTGTATTGTTTAGGTTTAACACATTCTTAGTGCTCTACAGACAATGTGGCTTTAGCACCACGGGGCAGCCATTAGTTGTAGGAATGGGTGTTTCTCTCTCTGTCTCTGTTAATGTGACTTTAGTTGTTTGGTTATTTATGTGTTTCTCTGCTTGTCTTTGCTGTTTCCTCAGATGCATTAGGCGAGTTCTCCAGTGAACCACCCAGCGCTTTTGTCACGCCAAATTTCAACACATCAGAGGCGGGACATCCTGCACACTACTTGAGCACACAAACTTCACCGCTCTCATCGTACCCAGCGCTGGGTGTCGGGGCCGGAGCCGGTCTGAGCTCCAACTCGATGCTTCAAGCTCTGACCGTGTCATCCAAATCATCAAGCAAAAGATCACCCAAACTCTGGCCCAAGAGGAACGCAAACGTGGTGCCTATCAACACTCCTGCTCCACCTTTGGGGGAGTGGTCAGGGATCTGTTTAGGCAACAAGGAGGAATTTAGTAAATTGCATGAATATTTTGGAAAGGAAGTGAAGAAACTAATTGCTGATTGGTCAAAGAGGAGACGAGGTGATGGGGTTGTTCAGGAAG